AGCTGACTCGCCCCGCTCCATTCCCTGGAGCCTTCTTTCCCGAGGCGGCAAAGGCAGAGGCGCCGCAGGCCAGCCCTGGTGACGGCACCTCGCTCCAGGCCACCCTCCCACCACAGCAAGCCACGCTTCTCCTGGGCAGCAGTTCTCAACATTTGTGTTAATGACCCAGACTGGCTTTTGCAGTGGTGTTTTTGATCTAGTTTAATCTAACATAACAACTAAAGTCCTCCTGAAATGGACAAGCGAGGGCCAGGAGCACAGGATGCTGTCAGATCTGCCTTGACTCCGGTCTGCCTGCCCCTGAGAGGGGCCTGTTGTCTTCCCTCCTTGTTTCTGTGAGCTCTGGCGCTCGCCCGACGCTGAAGCAGGCCAGGGCAGGGAGCTACCATTCCTTTTCCCCTAAGTTAGCTCTAACGGCTCTCCTTAAGGGAGGGGACGGCGCTGATACAGTATAGATAGGCAGGTAAAAGGAGACAGCGCTCCATTTTGACAGCGTACACATCCTTACATCACCACCCAGCTTCCTCATTACTGAACTGGTTTTCATTTTCTGCAGCATTGATACCAAAGGGTTAAATAATTCAGCTAAATTAACAGAAAAGCAGGCACATTCTTTAGCCTGGCATCTCAAGGTTAGGAGGCATCAAGAAAAAGAACAAATTACAAAAGGAGAGACACTGTTATCTAAGTCAGTAGGCAAGAATGTGGAGAGAGGCCTTCAAGAGAGGGAGTTCTAGACATGAAGGGAGCCAAGCTGATAAAACGTTACAGCCCACAGACATCAACAATAAATTGGCTCAGAGCAGGACAGAGGTAATTGCGGTAGTGGGAGATCACAACCTCCAACTCAAATGGCCCCCCCAAAAGAGGGGAAAACCCCACTGAGGGAGCATGTGTAGTTAATAGAGAGGCTTCATTAGTGTCTCTGAGGATGCATACTAACTTACATTAGAAGTGAGAAACTTATAACCAATCCTAAGTATGAATAACAGTGTAGTATACTATGAATATGCAAATGTTTTCTTGTATACAATATGTATCTTCATTTTACTCTGTGTGCATCCTAGGAGGAGCAAGCCCCCATGCACCTGGTGCTGCAATAAACCAATGCCACCTTTCTAAACTATCATTCTTGGTCACAATTTTCAGTAACAGCATCACCCACTAACCAGAGCTGCTTTTTCCATCATACCTCAGAACCTGCTGCAGAATTCATTCTTTACTTTGGAAATACCCTTCATTATCTTTGGCTTACTGTTAGTTTTAGGTTTTTTAAATTTCAGTCTTTTATCATTACATGTTAAACCAAATCCTAAGGCATGTCTGAATTAAAGGAGCTTGGAAACAGCTTGAGGTACTCTCTGCAGCAGTCACCTTCAGCTGAGATCTTGAACTCCCATTTCACTGTTTTGATGCCTTTGGTGCTTAGCAGTTAATTTCAGTTCATCTGTCCCTCTCCAGCCTCCCCACAGAGTAATTGGTGCAGCACACTCCCATTACTGCAGCCTGGCAGAATCCTCATCCCCTCAGAGCTGCATCTGCTAGACTTGAGCTACCACACGTGAACTCCAGAAATCCACTCTAGTAAGCTTATTTTGCTGCTATGCAAAACTAAGCTGATTATTATGCAAACTGCTTGGGAAATGGTCTTGCAGTTTAAGATACCCCAAAGAACAGTGAAAACGTATGGTTAGTGCATGTTATTCAGCCAGTAAGTTACAGGAACATAAGCTTTTAACTACAGCAACTTTAGTCTGCCTTGGCTAAGTAACCAGTAACATCATACAGTTCAATGCCAGCAACAGCCTTCCTTTGTTAATCACCTTGAAGTATTTGAAAACCCATCATCCCCCTCCCTGTGAAACTTAGAAACTGAAAGCAGTTGAGTCATTACATGATTTTAAAACTTTTAATAAGCTTAAAAATGTAAAACAGACACTTAGTTTACAGAGTGTACAAAAATATTTACAAATATTTATATTAAAGCATAGAAACAGCTGTAAGGAAAAAACACTGCACATAAGCATACCCATATAACACAGAAAAACATTGTACCTTAGGAAAGAAAGTGTCTTGTGCATTTAAAAATCCATTTGTGAATTCAAAACTAGTAATTTTAAGTGATTATAGTAATTTTGAAATCACAATGAAATTGAGTGGAATGTATGATTAACCAAAAAGAGATTAACACACCACCACAAAAATCCAAAGCTATGCTTCCTGCTTTGCCACCTTCTGTGAAGAAGGACGACTGTATGACTTGCATCTCACACATTTCCTTTCTTGGAATTCAACAGCAGCATTTGTAAGAACCTTGACATAACTGTTTAGTTAATGGCCCTGAAGTTTTGGTAGATATTTAAGCCAAAAAGTAAATGCTTTAAGGAAGTTGTGGTCGATTTCTACATAAAGTGTTTACTTGCATGTAACAGGAACCTGGGCCTGTATGCTGTATGAAAGTGCTCAGTCGTTCTGGGTTTGGGTGTCTTTAAAAAGAAGAAAAGCAGTCTTTATAGTAGACTTACCTTTGGAGGGGTTTGGTTCTTTTCACATCAGCACCTACATGGCACAGCCTCAACTGCTCTGTGTAAAACTTGCATCTCTCAGATGATTCCTAACAGCCACTAACCATTACAAGTAGTTCTTCCCAACAATGGAAGAAGCACAGAAAGTTTCTCTGCAAGATAGGCAGACGAGCATGGACTTGTTTGAACTTCATTCCTACTCATAATTTACATATGAATATGCTGAAGAATCACTTATGCTTTTCAGCATAAGGAGTGATACATCAGAAAAAAACCAACACTTTCTTCAAGCTATGCAAAACTGACAACTGTAGCATCCACACTTTCAAATGAAGCTGGATTATTCCCGGTAAGTTATGCAGACATTTAAGGACTCAGAACATAGGAAAGCTCTGAAACCAGAAGCAGATTTTTGTATTGCAGCACATATTTTGCTGAACTGAAAGCCTGCAAAGATATCTTGTGACACTTCCAGTTAGTTAGAAACTATAAACTATTACAGTTAAATTGTACACACTTCTGAAGACAGGAAAAGCCCAGCTCCATGGTGCTACCCATCTTCCTTTACAGAAAGATTGTGCTTTGCCTCTTATTAAAAGACCATGCACCTGAGTCTCAACAGCACAAAGTCGTATTAGAGATCTTCACATTCAAGAAGACTCAAACAGTTGACAGAAAGTATTCCACCACATTTGGTTCAGTCTAGAAAACAGTGCACATCATCCACCGAATCAAGTGATCAAGCCATTGTTAGAGGAGCCAGTTTGCTTTGAAATCACTTCCAGGTTGCTCTCATTCACAACAGCCTTGTAGTGACCTCTGCCTTCGGCCAGCATCTCAGACAATAAAGAGCAAATGCTCAAGACAACTTACAGGTTGCTCTAAACTCAAACAGTACATTAACAAAATCCAGTATACAGGTCGGCATATCAGAAGTCTAATTTCTTCAGCTGCTCATATGTCAGAAAGAACTGGAACAGCTGATTAAGGAAAACTGTTTCCTGTTCACATAGTGCAAAATGGTCACTTCACTACTAAAGGACAGTTGCATCTGTGTGAAACTTTGTTCCACTCTATGTTCCCTCCTATGCAATGCTGCTGGTTGGCCATTTTTGTTATGCACTACTAGGCAGAACAATGAAATTTGCTTTAAGGCTGGTGATGCCAATTACTGTCCCATCCCTGCTCCTCAGGATCTTAATTGCAGGACTGAGGATGCAGGAGAATACTGTAAAAGCCCTTAGAGTCTTTACTCACTTAGCTTCGATTGGCTAAAGTAGGTTTGCTCATGGTAAAAACCAACGTTACTACCAACCCACTTCCCAGGGCTCTGATCAGCTGGCGCTCAAAACAAAAATAAAATTGCCTGAGACTAAGATAAACAAAAAGATTTCATGGCTAACTGCCAACAGTTTCCTCAGGAATGGGGGCTGTTTCCAGAACTAACTTATCCAGTCAATTTTATTTAAAACTAGGCTCCAAACTAAGGAAATGGACAGGTATGAAACTGGAAGAACAGAAAAATGTTTTGCAAGATCACATTCTAATATTGACTGTGTGAATCACAAATTCAATCTGACCAGCAGCATTGACTAAGAAAATGGTCAACTACACCATTTTCCATTCATAAAAAGGGAATATTTGTGCTGACATGACACTCTTCACACTGAGCATCGTGTGAAACTATCGGCCAATACTTGCTGCGGCATGGGTAGCTTAATAGTTTTGCACACCTTTAAAAAGGATACAATGATATTCCAAGGACCAAGTCTTAACCAGTTTGGCCAAAACCCTTTATATAGAGCAAAAAAGCCTTCATTCTTCCATGTCTGGAAAAAACAGAGAGCAAGAACATGCTTATATAATTCTTTATTAGAAATCCAGACAGCATCTCAGCTAACAAGAGATACCAGACAAGGGGATAGCTTACTGCTGTAACCTTGATTTAAACACATTTTATGATGGGACAAAGAAACATTTCACTAGATAAAGCCTAGATGAGTAACGCCAGCAGCATTACCTGCCAGGTAATGCTACAGTCTGTCATTCAGTATCCAACCCAGATTCATCCAAATTGTATTCCTGGCATTTTTTCCACCCTCCACCCCCCCCCATCCCAAAAAACACCATCACCACCTTGCAGAGTGCTGCAGTAAACCTGCAGCTCACATTTGGCACCCCCTTGAAATTTGCGGCATGTAAACGGGCAGCTCATGTTATGCACCCCCTTGAAATTTTTCAGTTCACTTTACAGACCTCACAAAATCGCACTGGACAGCGTGACTTTGACTGTTATACAAACTGGACTGTTCAGTCAACGGTTTGGACACCAATAGCTTCCTATCCACTCTTAATCATGTAAGAGGCCATCATGCTCCCACCTCATACCCAATTTAGCCACAATAATAAAAGTCAGAGACTGACATTGCCTTTGGCTGTACTAGGCTTACCACTCCGCAGTAAGCAACAGAGAAACGCATCCACCCCAGAAGATGTTGTTCTTCAAGAACTGACCTATGAAGTTATCATCTCCTATCAATATCCTAACATCAAATAAAGTTAAGTAAGAGACAGTGCTGCAGAGAGACTTAGTCTCCTCATCCAAGCACCAGAAGGAAGTAAGTGCCTGCAATAAATACTAACTTTATTCCTGCCTTTCTGTCAAGGCAGCAGACACTTTTCACACCAAGTGCATTATTGGCAGTATTGGCATTGCTCCTTTTGAGCATTACGGCAAAAAGCACATCTAAGTTCCTTGGATTAATTTCTAGGGAAACTTACAACAATTTCGAGATCTACACCAAAATCTTTGCTTGATGGCACCAGTTTCTACTTATGTTGATACATGAACTACTTACTTGTAAGAAGCAATCCAAAGTACCCTTGTAGTTCGAGTGTCCCCCATGTTGGCTTCTCTGATTCATCATACGTGTTCTTACAACATCAATTGGGTTGGATGCAAGGGCTCCAGCTAACCCACAAGTAAAGCTTGAGCTAGTAAGAGAAAGGTTTAATAAAATTTGACCTACCACATTTAGAGATGCACAAGAACTCCCCCTCCCTAGAAAACATGCAGTAATGACTGCTTAATGCTTTTAGTTAAAAAATTACACCAGCTAATAGATGTGAAAAGTTACTTTTCATTTGCTATAAAGCATAACTGAAGATTTTATATATAGCCCTTATGTACAGTTTCTGTATACCTGAACAGATGTTTGTGCCTCTGAACAGCAAATACTTAATTGGAACTTTCTTCTAACCTCAGTTTGCACAGCTGAATGATTCAGACCATTCACAAAAGATTCCATATTCAGAAGAAAGTTAAATCCAAATCCTAAATAAGATTAGCTCCCATGCTATGTGCTACCATTTGAGATGTTCTTGCATTAAGTATAAACACATCAGAAGTATATTTACATCTAGACTGATGACAGAAAAATCAAAAGATTCATAATGAGAACTAACCAATGATGAGTTATGCAGCTATACAAACTTACAGGAAGTGAGTATATACTGTATCTCCCATAAATCCAGACATAATTATGTGCTTCTTGGTAAGGTCATACACTGGCAATTCCACTCCAACAACAACAGCAGCTCTCTGTGCAGTCAATGATACTCCCTGGCAGAAGAAAGAATACAGTTGAAATTAAAAGTTAACCTTTGTGCACCACCAGAAAAGCCTAGCTTTTATAATACAATGCAACACACCATGAATGCGTTAAGAACATTGTGAATTTAAATAAGGCTAATTAGTGCCAGTCTTAGATGTATGTGCTCCAAAAAAAACGGAAATTCAAAATAAATAAATTACTTTTCCACACTGAACGACAATTTCAGTTCCTTTATGCTACTCCATCTCTGCTCAATATCTGAATTCTTACATCAACAGTCAGCTAAGACCTCAACAACCAGGTGATACTGGCTCCCCTTGCTGCTAACTGAAAAACTGACAAAGGAAGACAAACAGAAAAGTGGAGATCAAGCAGCTCTGCAGAGAAAAGCTAATAGAAGAACATTCCTATTTTCCAGCTGTTTCAGAACATTTTGGGTTTTCAGTTGTTATACAGTCACTGACTGTAGCTGGCACAAGAAACAACCTACGAGACTGAGTACAAGAATTCTGGAGCTAGAGGCGATTCTCATTAGTACCTTCACTTCCAAATGTTCTTTAGTATGTTTTAAAAAGAGCAGAGCATATAGATTGAGAAGGGTCTTGCAAAGGGTTGTTGAATTAGTCCTAGAGCCAGTCACCCTAATTTAAGCCTCCATTTGTCTCCTCTTTAAGAAGCAGCTAATCCTTGAACACAAGACTGGCAGTAACTTTCTGTCAAAATGCACCAAGACACCAGCAGTGAAGTAGTCATGACAAACTACATACATATTAACTTCTCGATATTTTAGCTGAGAATACTGTAGAAGTACATGAAAGTCAGTTGAGCAAGAAAGCACACAGTGTAGGACTTGTTCAAAGAACTTGCCTTCCATAATCCTTTAGTGCCTTCCTTTTGGTAGATCTGTATGAAGTTGCCCATCATTCCTCCTTGAATCACACTACCTTGGGCTTGCATTCTGATCTGAGATTCATTTGAAGATAAAATTAGAAGATAAATACTTTTTCAAACATACAACCGATAATAGTTTAATACAGTTTTATTAACATTAAGTTACAATCTTCTAAGCAGTAAATTTCTCTTTGAATACAAATTAATAGCTGACATTCATAACCATGATGCAATCTTTTGCCTTAACTATCCAAATGCAGCTGCTAATTTTGAACAAGTACGTGGTGTAGCTCTTAGCTGCACTAAGTCACTTCTATTTCTGTACTTGTACACCACTCCATTTAGATTAGACTGACAGATGGGTTCTGCAGAATGTCCTTTACAGTGTTCTCACTGAACACATTAAAACGAAAGGTTAAGAAGATGAAGGTTTCAAGCTAGTGAGAACCATGGTCTTCAAGCCTGCGGATTTCCACGAATGTCCTTGGGAACCTGCCATGGTAACTACCAAATACAAGATTAGGGATAAGCAGGTTAGTACATGGACATAATTTTGGGAAGTAACTAATTGAAGCCACACCTGAAATACAAGCTTATGTTTGAAATGCCTCTACATAACCACACCAGCCCTATGAAGGACTAAGGTTTTAGTAGTTTTAGAACAGAAAGTTTTCTTGAATTTTTCATTAGAGGCATCCATGTAAGTCACATGCTACAGTTTTCTAAGTTAAAATACCATCAACCCTTTCAAGCAACTGGAAAGAGACTATCGACTGTCATTAAGCTAACAGATTCTTAAAGAGGTGATAGTTTCACCAACTCACTTTAAATGACTGACACTGGAACACTATTTCCATCGGACACTGGATTGCAAAGCCTCTCTACAGGACTAAAGAATGATACAGTACAAGTAGCACTCACTGAAACTCTTGCCTCTGAATTGATCTTCACCTATTTTGAGCTCTAGAAACATCCTAGTATAACAGTGTTAACAGAAGTATAGATGAAATATGCAGTGTGGCTTCCACACAAACACTATAGCATGAAAGTTAAGAATGAGTCATCTTATATTATTCTCTCTCCATCCCTATAAAAAGTTATATGGATCCAACTACCTCCCCAGCCATCAATTTCCTGGTGCATATTTCTAAATAATTAGTATGGATCAGAAGGAGGTTCCAAGAACTCAAGATCTTACTGATTTTTAAAAGTTGAGATGAGGATTTGTTTTGTAACCGTATTTATTCTCTATTCATCAGTAGATTCTGCAGCTCCTCAAGGAGAGGACAAAAACTAAGGACAAACACTACATAACACATAATTACCTTTAAGACATCTGTTGGGTTGGCAATCGATGATGAGATTACTCCCGAAAGAATGCCACATAGAACATTTATCATCAGGGTTTCATCTATTCCATAAACAAAGAAAAAAAGAGTTTAGCTGCAGGTTTACAAAGCTCAAGATGCATCAGGGCAGGATGATGCCACTGCTCCTTTAACCAGAGACAGTGACAATTACAGAAGCCTTAAAAACAGTTTAGACAAATTTTCCTTGCTGATTCTCTTTGTTGGAATTGGTACAAGGAATGTCTTCTCAGTAGACTTGTTCAAACTGCTACAGTAAGATATCAAATGGATACAACCAGCTTCAAGCAAATCAGTCCTCAATTAAACTGAAAAAACCCACTCACCTTCTGGATGCTCAACAAACATTCTTTTTAAGCTCTGGTAAGTGCCTATTTTTATAGTTCCATAGGAAGCTTGCCGTAGCATTGCAGGTGCAATCCTGTAAAAATAGGCAGTGATAATATTTATGCTCAAAATTGCAAAAGACTGATTAGCAAATGCTTTTTAGAGCAAGAGATACTGAACACAAGATATCTACCAAAGAAAGGTTTGTTCATTCACATCAACAAATCAAACTCACTATAGACAAAACAAGGGGTTTGGTTGTTTTAGTTTTTTGTTTGTGGGTTTGTTTTTGTTTTTTTTTTCTTTAAGTAAAGCCTACAAGAACATGAACCAACTGTGGAAGGATTACTATTAAAGCATGCCTCAAGTTGTGATCTATAAAATCGCTGGCAAGAATGTATGAAGTGTAACCTGCAGATTACATCTTTCCCCCACCATCTTGCATGTTTTAAAGAAAAGCACGCCGCCCATTTATACATAGAAGTTAATTCCCCCCCCCCCCAAGAGATGGAATAACCATAGCAGCATTGTACAGAATAATTTTATGCTTAGCTTTTTTTCTCCAAGTAGGTTTTGTGGTTTGTTTTTTTGTTTTGGTTTTTTGTTTGTTTGGGTTTTTTTAAATGTGAAATGCTATTGCAGAGTGCAAAGATTAAAGCAATCTAAGCTTGGGCTTTCAACTTCTGGATTAAGGCCAACCAAATAACTTGTAATTCTCAAACCCAAGAACTCACACACTATGGGCTTACACTTATCAACAGACTGTTCGTAAACTATTACTGCAAGTCAGTTAATTTTACCCAGAGTATAAGGCTTTCAATCCTTCTTCTCTGCATATTTTGACTAGTGCATGCACCATTCCACGGTAGCGGATCTCTTTATATTTGGCATCATTAACTTGACCTTGAACCTGGAGACGTGTTTTGGTCAGATCAATGGGGAAAGTACCTTAAAGAAAAATCAGAGAGAAAAATCATCAAGTACTTACCTAACCAAATACAACAAACATGATATAAGAAACAGCAACCTTTATTATATACCAAAATATACAAAAATACTCCCATGGGAAAAAGTCTGTCTTACCAAGACTTTCTTTTAAACAAGTGGTTCACTGTACGTCACCTTGATTCTTCCAAAGGGGTAGGGCCTTGTCAGAGGCTCTACCTACTTCCTATGTTTACATTTTGCATTCTCTACATTTTCAGGCAACATGGTACTGCCTGGTTGTAACAGCCACAGGGAATAGGACTCTGCAGTCAGTCAAGTACAGAGTTTGCATGTGTATTCTACCAACATCTTCGAAGAGCATTTAATTGAAAGCAAAGAAAAATTCCATAGGACTAGCTATACGTATTCTAGGCTAGAATCTAAGAAAGCAATAGCAGCAGTACCCACTTATCTTACTGCTTTCCTGTAGCCTACTGCTATGTCAAGTTCATGTTCTCCACGCTCCCTTTATGAAAGGTTTAGAAAGCATATTCCTCCAGAGCTTATATTTTTCCTAAAGATCACCTCAACATTCAATGCTCACCTAAACACTAATAGGAGGCAGGTTTAGCTACATCTGTTCTAACGAGGTTTACCAGACAAGCAAGGCTTTTATGAATTGCTTGTCTTCCTCACAAAGCTTTTGGCATTATTGGCCACATTCAGTCAAGTCAAATAAGAGAGGTTTAAAACCCAGATTTGAACAAAATTCATAAGAGAAGGTAGAAAAGGAAAACAAAATAATAGTATAAAATTACACTTAAAACTACATCTACTTTATTAGACAGACTTCAGATGCAAGCGCACCACAGGTCAGACTATGTTCTGCTACTGTGAAAATCCACATTTCCTTTATTTTCATGTACATGCATTTCAGATAAGACTTCACAAACATAGTGGTATTTTAGGTTTGTCTTTAGAACAGGCAGGAAAACAAATGCACTGTCTCACTATAACAATTATTCTATGTTGCACACTAACTGAAGTGTTCAAATCTAATCAGCTATTCACATTCCCAGAAAAGGGAATTTAAACTGCAACATGGCTACTTAGAAAAGCTAAGAGAAAAACTTTACAAGTTAAGAGTTTAACTTGTCTACTCCAGCAAAACAAAAGCAGCGTATACTTATGACCACTGTCTAGGAAGAGATCAACAAAACAGAATGCAAAGATAAACTTTATATAAAAAAAAGACTCACAAGAGATGAGAGTTTACACAGAGAAGTGTCCTGACATTGTAACAAAGTTCTGAGCAACTCTTCAGTTAGCATTAAAGAAAAATACCCTCATGTTGTAGACCATATACTACTGTGTCAGTGATAGCACGAAACAAAGCTCGTTTTAAAAGGAATGACCTGAGTAAAGGAAATCATATAAACAGTTAAAGGAAAAGCTTACCACATTCTGCTGTGACTGATGCTAAACCTCCATAGATAAAGGGCTTCCAGTTTAGTGCTGACATTATTGATTCTTCTTTCTCTGAAATAAGATGATTTAATGCTTCTATAAAGTACATGTGTTATATAAATGCATATGCTAACATTTAATAAAACTTTGTGCCTTCCAAACAGAGTAAAAACATTTAATACCTTTGACAATCAGAAGAAAGTCACGAATACTGTGCAGAGGCATCTGTGTTCAAATCAATGTCTCTGCTATGCATTTGGGCTACCACGATCCTCACCATGAAAGGTTAAAGTAGTTTGTCTTCCAGGCATGACCTTAAGGAGCACTGCAGTGAATAATGTCCAACAATTCTTACCAAGCTGAATTAGTTTGACTACATCCTGCAATCAAACGGAACTTTAAGACAGTCACTACCAAATTCTGTTCCTTTTTTCCTGGTATCAACATTAACATGAGCTGAACTGGTACACTTGGACAAAAAAAAATAGGGGTGCACACAACATCTTGCTTCTATTAAGGCCTATTTTTGCTACCAGGGTTCACAATACTCATTCTTGTGAGCATTGTATAAAGCTAGTGTAAACAGGTGCATAAGGCCTCTCACAGTAAAAAAGGCTGCTCTAACTTAGAAGTCAATTAAATGAATTTGACAAAGTGACCACAAATCATAATTAACTATGGCATATGCTCTGCAAGATGCTAACGTAATCCAGTTATCTTAGAAGAAAGATAGGAACTGCAAAACCAGACTAGTCTAGCCAATACAAGGTTGCCCTTCCCAAAACCAAGTAGGTCTCTCCACAGCTTACTTTTTCCCCCCTTCCTCATAATATAAATACTTTCCATTCCCCATTTTCTATAATATCCTCCTAAACATTGGATTCTACAGTTATCTTTTGCCAATTAATTTTGTGGAATAATTGTACTTGAAACTACTTCCCTTGGCACTTACATTCACTGTTACTTTGTTTATTCACCTGTACCACCCAGCTGGAAAACATCGTAAACACAGCAGTTGCTTAGCACAGCCTTCTGTAAAGAAGTGCCAAGAAGAACTCCCTCTGGAAGTGCCAATAATCCAGTGTCCAGACGAAGGTATAGATACTGAGCATGCCCAAATAGTTACTGCAGCCCTAGTTTTCCTTTAATCATCTTTACTTCATGAAAAGTTACCTGGGTCTTCAGTCTGGCTGACACTTAATACAATAAAACCCATAGGAGCTCAAAGCACACAGTTTCAAATACTCAACAATCAAGTGGACAGAAGTCCATCTTACTCTAACTGCTGCAAAGGACACCACTGATGTAAAAAAAAAAAAAAGGCAGGCAAGTAAGGGCACCCACTGTATTGCCAAAAAGATTGCAATACAGAGATGAAGAGCCACAGGCATAGACTATGCCGGCTTTTCAATATGAAAGCAGCAGAGCCACACGGGTACAACACTGTGCCAGAGGGAAGCCACTTACAGCTCCAAGTTCCTCATATTCGTGATTAATGGCAGATTATTTAATTAACAGAGACAAAGCCAGGCTCAGTTTCACCACTAACAGCCACACACATGATCTTTGCTTTCGAGAAACTTGTCAAAGTTGAAAATACAGTTAACTTTTTCCCCCCTTCACCACATTAAAACAAGTTTTCCTCTATCATAAATACCGTAACACTGAAAAAAAAATCTGTACTTTTTTTTGGTTTGTATTTCACTCTGCTGAGGCAACGAAGGCTACTGAGTTCCATAAAACCCACTAGCAAGCAACTTTCCTCTTTCACCTCAACTATCTCATCTTCTGAATTCTTGTTTTTCTTCTTACTCATAAATTCTTCCCTACAGCGATAAAAATAGTAAGCATCTCCTTAGAAGAATTCCATTGGCAATTCAACTGGCAAACTACTTAAAAACATAGTCCAGCCCTCATTACAGAATAAATTGCGGTCACCAATTTTATTAGAAAGAAATCACCCTTATCAAATCTACATTGTTGCTCCCTGAACAGCAGTAAGATGACCGATGATATGACCCCTAAAGAACACTGGGTTAGATTAATACAGCAATTCATCCACACACTCTTTGCAAAAAGTCAGAAGCAAGTTTGGTTGCTTTTATTTGACAGTGGGGCTGAAATAAAGTCAAAAGCCCAGGTTCCATAAAAGAATGCATCACTTAAACACTTCGATATTTCCCTGTTAAGGAACAGGCTTTAGAAGTCACACAACAAATTCTTTGTTGGTTAACAATATTGCTAGTGTACTAGGCACACAGTACACTCCAGCTTACAGTCATTTTAGCAATTTAAAGTGGATTTCACCCTTCAATGTTACAGAAGGCTTACACCAAATAAGTTATTAGCCCTAAAAAGTTATTATTTGTAATATAAGCATGCATGTATAAGATAGTTATCCAAGCAATACTTTCCAACTGCATGGATGACACCGCAGACACACAGCTCAGACTTCGTATTCAAGCAGTGAAGCATCATCAGAAAGAAATTTAAAAAAAAAAATCAGGGCTAAAGCATCATGGCAAGTTCTTGCAAAATACCAGCTATGTTACCAGTACAGAAGCCAGTGAAAGACACACGCACACCCCCAACTAAAGGGACTACCTGCAGCAGTCCTCCCCTCAGCAGCACTGCCAGCCTATTTAAACAGCTGGAGAGAGAAGGACACAGTAACACCTGTTAACGAGCAAAGGGGGGCAACAACGACTGCACCGACCAACTCCCTTTCGGCGACGGCCACCTACAAAACGAAGCCGACCTCCCTCCCGCTTCACCTTGAGGGGAAGGGCGTCAGGGAGTGAAAACAACGAAGACAAGGATCGGCGCGGCCCCGCTCAGGGGTGGGGGGCCCTGCAGGGTGCCACGCAAGGCTCAGCGAACTCCCGCCCTCCTTCACCGATAGCACCCGGTGAAGCTCACACACAAATATTTGCACCCGGCCGGCGGAGGGACCTCGCCGGCCCCCCCGTCGCCTCGCCAGGCGGTTGACAGATGACATGACACCCCACCCAAGGGACCAACAAGCGCCATCTCCCCTCACTCACCACCAAAACCTGCTCGACCTCCGTACCGACAGCCCCCGCCGCGCCGGTTATAAAGCGTTGCT